AATTCGCTTGATAACGTTGAAATATGTGAATGTGAGGCGTACCTATCGGTAGTTATTTGCAAAGCGTTACTGCCACCTGCATATATTCGTGAAATCCACACAGTTTTCTACCCAAGTAGCAGCCCAATTTCTTCGAGGGAGACTTGAAAGAGCAGACATGGTGTTTCTGCCAATACTATGGCTTACTCCTTTAACAACTTTGGTAATATTTAATCAGGATCTAACAATGTCGGTCCTTTCATTTTCTGTAGCTCTCGTATAATAGTGACTTTTGTGAAAACCGCTGATTAATTTTCTGGACCCCATCAACCCTACATTCATTGATGGGAAAATCAAACTTCCCTCGTAAAAACTGATTGAAAAAACTCACATAGCTGCTCAGCCTTTTCATCATACATGCAAAGTCCAATGCCACCATCCGTTTTTAACATAGGGATAACATCCGCACTGCAAGTACATTGTCCCATGTGGTTGTATAAAGGCTTTGGGTTTTTTCCTGTACAGTTAAGCAAATTACTCTCGAAGACGTTGAGAGAGTTACCAAGAGGTCTTGTAGTTTTTCACTGGTCCGATTGTTTTCCCCCTGACGAAAATTTTCCCGAGCCTTTGCTTTCCCGTCTATACGATGCATGTCTATTTTCATTTGCTTAAGATCTCCACACCGTATTTTGCGTCTCACTATGATTCAGTATAATTCAGTGTGTATGAGGGATGGAGGTAGAGCATTGGAAAACCCTATTTACAGATAGACATTTGAAAAAAACGCAGATATTTACGTAGCAGTTATGCTAATCATTGATATCACATAAATATGTGACCATCAAGCATAAATTTATCTAGTCTTATTTTGAAGGTCTCAACGTTTTCCGCTAAGACAACGGAATTATGCAATTTGTTCGATCCCTCAACCAGCCGGTGGGAAATGAATTTGGCCCACAATTCGAGTTTAGCCTATTTTAGCTTCAATTTATATTGTTGCCCTCGGAGATTTGTCTTCCGCGTCATTTGGAAGAAATCGTCAAACTGACGAGCACGGTCTAGCCCTCGGACGATCCTGAAGGCCACGATCATGTCCCCTCTGTAGTGTCTACAAGAGAGAGGAAATATTTTTAGCTTCTCCAGCCGTCTCTCATAAGATAAGCCACTTAATCCGCCGACTAGCTTGGTCGCTCTTCGTTGTACGTTCTCCAGTAGGGTGTCATCTTCTCTCGTCCAGGGACACCATGCCTGGACACAATATTCCAAC